ATTTAACTAAAAATAATATCTCCCGGTAGTAGACCTAGTAGTAGATCTATTAATTTAATATTTAAAATATCTTATAATTTAAAATAACTACAAAAGCAGGAAACTATATTAAAGAAATTATTTAAAACTTATATAAAAAAGCCTTAATTTACCTACTAAAACTATAATAAAACAGCTTTTCAAAGATTATAAATAAGCTTTAAATAAAGCTACTATTATAAAATAGAAAGTTAGAGAACTATATACTATATATAAAAAATATTTAAAAAAGAAAAAGCGCTTTACTAGATAGCTATCTATAGAATTAAGCGCTTCAGTTCAAAAAACTTAAAAGTTTATATAAGGTAGAAATTCTACTAATATAGCTATATCTACTAAAGTAATAGATATAGACCCTATAGTAGAAAACCAGCGTATACACATTCTACCAAAGTACTCTAGTTACAATATTCTAGGTCATAAAATTTCTCAATATCCTAATTATCAGACTATTTAAATTTTCTATAGAAATACAGATTTTTCGGTGTTTTGAATAGCTTCATTTCTAGGAGGCACGGAAATTGTGATAAGGTGGAACGCTCGGTTGCGCGGAACGCTCGGTTGCCGGCTACGTTACCTAATATGTATGGTACCCCGGTGGTGGTCAGCAGGCCAATCATACTTTGCCCCTAGGCGCCCTTAACCCCGCAATCCAGGCCAAGGCCAACACGTCCTCCTTTGTCTGTTACTGTGCTCATTTTATGCAAACTTGATAAGTCTTTGGACATTACGTTTATCTAGGTCAGGTTTCTTCAGCTGAACCTGGCAACCTTCCATTTTGTTCTATAGTACCGGTTCAGGTCCCTGAAAAGCTTCCATTCACCATGCATAAAGCTTCAAGAGGGTTCGATCATCCTAAGTGCATGACTTGTGGATCAGTGGTGCATGATTCAGCCGATTGTCCGTGGAAAGGCAAAGAGCACTTAAGATGTTATCAATGTATAACCATACTCTTACGGCAGGGGAATGATACTGAGATTTTATAGGCAGTGAATACGGTCACTGGACGAAAGAATGCAAACAACCAATGGGTTGTTTTCGATGTATGGACACACTTCGGGATGTCCAAAATTCCTAATAACCTGATGTACAGGTGGTAGTTTCGGGCACTGGGTAGTAGATTGCAGATACCCAAAAGGATGCTACAACTGTAGGAAAGCCCCCAAGAACTTGGTGATTGTAGCTAACAGTCTGAGTGCCATCAGGCGGCCAATATGACCATTTCAGCCCAGATTGCCCCTGGGAATTCGAATCGGGAGACTTTGAATACGAGCCTAGTTCCTATCCTGACGTCAAGCCAGCCGCCGTCGTATCAGACTCACCCGCTCGGTCACCAAGAAGGCTGGAACATCACAGGCCAGCCGGGCCAGGAGCACCTGAGAATATGGCTGGTTCAAGCGACATTGTCATAAGCCCATGGTTAGGAAAAGACTCAGCAAACAAGCTTCGGACCTTGCGACTTGACCAACAAACGGTGCGAGTTGACCAGAAGGACAAGCCTCATGTCACCCAGGGCGAAACGCCCAGAGTGAACGTGGATGTAGTAGGTGAATACTCGGACGCTCATAAGAACAAGGGTTGGCAAGATGCGGCAGCAAAAAGAACATCCAGGTTGCTCAAGGAGATGTGGGCACAAACGTCAGAAAACCTGAAAGAAACGCCAGCCATGGATGGACTCGCCAACTCCTCAACTCACCAGAAAAGTATGCTTGAAATTGAACAGGTTAGAAGCGCCCTTGAAGTTCGAGCGCAACGACATAGCCTGAAATTGAACTGGCGGCAGTCGATTGTCGATCTTCTGAAATTACTGGGCCTTGCTTCCGACATCCAAGCGCGCTGTAGACTAGCAAGACTGCTAAACGTTCAGAACTTCCTTCCAGGTTCCCCAGAAAGCAACATGGCTCTTCATCGTGCAGTTATCCAGGAATTAGCACGGAACGGCGGAGACCTTCCAAGGGACACGAGGAACCAACTAGTCGGTCCAGGGAAATCAGCAAGAATGGTAGAAATGGATAGCGATGAAAGCGAAGTTGAAAGTGTCTTTTCAGATGACTCAACAGCTTCTTCAGTGTCCGCGTTCAGTCAGACCGCGAATCCCGCTCTAGAGATAGCGCACCTGCTGCTTAGCAACAATGTGCTGAGGCCACTTCTTAATATCGCATATGCGAGGTACAGCACCAGGAGAGTCACAAGAAAGCTTAAGAGCTTAGTTTCCCATTATGGGCGTGATCTGGTGTCTGAGGCTTCTGGTGACGCCCACAGATGTTCCGCGCAATTTGTTGTCAAAGCAGCACGGCAAATCACAACTCAGTTAATTTCTAGGTCAATGGTGCCAGAAGCAAAGAGCAGCATTGTCTCAAATCGCAAGGAACTTGAAAACCTACTTTTGGCACAGTCAACCCAACGACGAGCCCCCAATGACCCCAAAGACCCATTGTCTGACACTGAGGCGGAGCATTCAGAGCAATCAGAGTCTGAGAGCGAGCTTTCACTGCCTGTACTCCAGGTGGTTGAGCAATTCATGGTTGAATCCAAGGCATTTGCCATTCTGGTAGCCAGATTACGGGAATGGCTGGGTATCCTTGACGAAGATGTGGACGAAAATATGTCGATTGATCAAGTAACCAGGTCTCCGGAATCTTCCGACTCAATCAACAGTGCCATAACAGAACAGACGGCATATTCACGGATACCCGAGCTGTCTCAGCAACATACTACGCTTGAAGCGTTAAACAAGGAGGCAAACCAAAGCTTCCTGCGACGAACGCTATCATGGGTCACCCTATTAGAGCCTATGTTCTGGCCAAGACCACCAGAAGGATTCAAACGCATTACATGGAGAAGTCCTCTCGGAAAGCCTCTTTACATTGACGTCAAAGAGCGCGAGGATGGTGCAGTAGATCGCTTACAAGAAAGGTTCATAGCATCCGCTCAAGAGAGGTCGTCAGCCTCTAGCTCCTCTTCTTCCTCCACTTCCAGTACACTGGGAACCGTCTCAAGTGGCACACCAGCTATGACGCTTCGCGCGCCTCCCGCTGCCCTTGTCATGAACAGGTCTTCTACTCAGTCCACCATCTCTCATCACGCCAATAGAGCACACAGTCAGCCCAGTCCAACCATGTCTGCAACAGTACCGAACAATATCCGCCAAGCAAGCGTGAAATACCTCCTAGTCTGTTTCAGTACAAGTAAATCGGAGAGACTCGAACTGATTAACGTGACGCACTTCGGCAACGATCAAACTCTCTTTAAATCTCTCCACGAAGTCTATAACTCTATCAGGGAAAAAGAATCATGGACCTCCAAAATACCGCTTTTAAGACCTGGGAAAATGCCCCATTGGCTATGTCGGTGCTTGAACCATTTACATCTTTACAAACCGAGGAAGATTAATTTTGTATCTGTAAGTGACCCAAATTTGACATCTCCCTTCCCGTGCAAGGCTCGTCCCTTGAGTATTTGCACTTCCTGAGCCCCTCATTCTAAAATCATTATCCAGTTCAGTCTAATGCCCCTCGGCCAAACCCCCACCCCCTTTAATATAAAGACCCCATCCATCCCGCCAGAACAGGAAGTCCACCTCCAGAACTGGCACTACTCTCCCTGTCCCATCGAAATCGAGGAGTGGGCTATAAGTGAAGCTTTTGCAGCAAAGCTCCTTGAACCAGGACACGCGTTTCCAAACGCAGAGTGGTTAGAACTCTTTCCTAAGAAGTTGCGGTCGTCTTTCATTTACGAGCCAGGTAAAAGATCTACATTATGGGGTATAAATATCGTTGAAGGGCTCAACAAGGCTGCTCTCGTGCGGATCGCCCTTTGTGTGGTGCTCTCAAGCGCGTTGCTGGGGCTGGTATACTCGCTTGCTTCGCATGACGTGTCCGCTGCCTTCGCGTTGGCGGGGTGGTTTGCGACTTCTGCGGCTCTGTTCATTCCGTATTTTCAGTTCAAAGAGTAATCAAATGAAGTGCCTGGTCTGGGGAAGATTTCATGTTGCATTTCTTGGCCTAGAGCCATTGCTCTCTCTCTGTGTGTGTGTGTGTGTGTGTGTGTTGTGTGTGTATCCATACGCTGACCACTCGCCATCAGTTGGAACTCTGAACCGATGTACAAGTTTGTTAATTGCATTAACTATATTCAAAACACTAACAACTAAAATAGTGATAGTAACTGCCTTCATGCTGCCTAGCGGAGTAGCAGCCTATTAGGCTGCCACTTCCCAGTAGGGCCTAAAATGTCACGTGACCTGGGATCCAACTCTCCCCTGTGCCAAGGGTCCCGAAGGGCCCCTGGCACCCTCAAAGGATCCCTGATTATTTTTCGAGCCGGCAGGGTATGGACTACGGTGTGTCAAGTTGTTTTACCGTATCTCCCCTGACAGAATGTTAAGACGCTCCACCAAGCTGTCGTGTGTAGGCCTCGGTAAGGCTTTGGTGAAGACATCGGCCAAGTTATCCTTCGTGGCAACGCGTTGAGTATTGATGACCCTTCTTCCACTTTTTCACGAATTAAATGATGTTTCACGTCAATGTGTTTTGACCTGCTGTGGAATTCTGGGTTTTTGGTAAGTTACAAGGCGGAGTTGTTGTCGATGTACAGAGGGACTGCATTAATGTAGACCCTGGGATACGGAGATCATTGATGAAGTTGCGAATCCATACAGCTTCCTTCACAGCTTCCGCACATGCAATATACTCAGCGTCCATAGTTGACGTGGTTATCATTTTCTGTCTCTGAGATGACCAGGATATCAGCCCCCCAGCCAGCGTGAACACCCATCCAGTCGTTGACTTGCGCGAGACCTCACATCCACTAGCAATGGTGTTGTGCGCGGAGTCCACGGTTCCCATACTAATTAGGGGTGGCTATAGTACCACCATAGTGCAGAGTCTACAGTCACTGCTCATCTACTCCAGAGTCTATAGTCCCTACTTACTATTCTTAGTAGAGTCTATATCTCCCTCCTAGAGTAGACTTCCGCATAACCCAACTTGGGTCGAGACCTTTGACCCAAAACCCAACCCAGCCTGGGTCTGGGTTGAACTTCTCTAACCTGGATTTAACCTGGACCCAATACTAGGATTCTAATAAAATCTATTAAAACTTAACTTAATTTAATTTTTATATAATTTTAATTATAAAGCTACTCAGTTATTAAAATAATAGACTATTTTT